AACTTACAGGAAACTTCTAGAAAGAACCAGGAAGAGTATGAGGGTAGTGAGACGTCCTGCAATAATCGTGGCTGTCAGAGTCAGAAAAAGGGTATTAATGAATACCATGTGTGATTTAACCCGCTGAGTTACACTGAGTTCTAAGGCACACAGATTATATGTGAAATACCAATAACTATGCTTCTAATAACTATTAGTAAAAGAAATATTGCAGTAAATACACAAAAGACAAGAAACAATTTCAAATATGATATCCAGCTCTTCACAGAGTGGACCCAGCAGGCTCTTCAATATGTTTACTTTTTCCACCTCACTGCTCTCTGGTCAAATCTCAGGATCTTTCCTTGACTACAATGGTTTGTATTTGAGGCATGCAGCCTGAGCTAAAGACATTTCTTTGCTTCATTTCTCTGTGAAGGACAAATATATCTATATCTACATGTATTTCTCTCCAGGCCAAATTTTGAATTTGTTTGAGGAAGATAATATTTAGCACACCTGGTGTGAAGAGACTAGTGTGCCATACTGAAGTCTTGACATCTTAGGAAGAAAAAGTGATCATGGGAATAAATCAGGTGTGAGTGTGAGCAAGAGTGATAACAATGACTAAGAAGGAAGTCAGACCCACCTGGCTCCTTTGTTGTGAGGAGTTCAGAGAAAGTCAGTGTGATGGACGGATTTATAGTTTTTTTTTTTTTTTTTTTTCCAGTCTGAGAAAAATTACTAGTAGTTCTTGGCCTTGTTTGGTGCTTTTTTTTAGTGACTTGAATGGGAACATAGAAATCATGCTTGTCATACTTATTTAATGTGACAGAGCTGGGAAAGGTTTTTTGATGATAGACTTAATGTCCAGGAAGTACTAGATAGGCTGGAACGTAAGAATGGAACTTAAAAATGAAATTTATTAAAGTTAAATATTCAACAACTTAACATTAATTCAAATCAATTAAAATAAAGTCAGTTGTATTACTGATGTATGCCCAGGTTGACAACTTTTTATGGAAGAAAAAAGAACGAGTTAACAGAACGAAGAGTCTGCTAAGAAAATTAACACAATATTAAACTGTAATGATACAAGCATTTTGTCTAAATTCAAGCCAGAAGGGGTACCACTTTGTGGCTGTGTGCTGATCATACTTGAAATACTACAGATAGAATCTGAATATCTAGGTTTCAGAGCTGTTGAACAAGTAGGTAAGTAGAGGTGGTGGAAGAAAAGGATGAAGAGAGATCTGGAAGCCATGTGGATGTGATGAAGAGTTCAAGTTTATCCAGGAAAAGAGAACAGGTGTGACAGGTGTAGTCAGTGTATTGACAGGGAAGTCATGTGGAAGGTGACTGTTGTTACTTTACCTGCCTCCAGAGGGCAGAAAAAGGACCAGTGTGGACAAATTTCAAGGAGGCAGGTTTTAGAAATCTTAGTTTAGGTCTAGAATTGTTGATAAAAGGCTATCCTGGCAAGAAGCATTTTTTCCTTTTCCTGGTGGTGCCCAGTCTGAGATTGGGTGCTAAGCCGTCATTGATATGGAGCAAAGATTCTGCTTTGGGAGCGAGCAGGCCAAAAACCTTTAGCTCGCCATCAACCCTGTGATTTTATGAGCCCTGACAGCTATTCACCTTCTACCTGAATAGTTCTGATAACTGTGGATCAGATCTTCTTGTTTGAAATGACTTCAAATACACACACACACAAACACACACAGAGCTGCAATTTTCCCTTGTCTTGCAATGAACAATAGTAAGGAAGGTGAGGCTACAGGCTGACTGGTTAAACTGTTCTGGAGAAATGTAAAGTTGCAACATTGCTCTTAGATTTTATTATTGACTGAGCCAGCTATCCTTTAGTCTAGTTCATACTCCAGTGAATTCCTAAGTCTTTAAAACTGGATTAATTGGCTCTTCATCAGTATTCATATTGTAGCTGGCATCAGATCTGGCTCAGAACATTAGAGCAAAAGGTAGATGCAAAGAGTTAATACCCTCTAAGGTCAAGATTGTGTTTCAGGATAAGAGACAGGACTGAGCTTGCCTATGAGAATCTAGCAACCTTAGCTGCAGGCAGAGGTAGGATGTGAAGACTGAGAACCTGGGTGGGTCTTCTAGATATTAGGTATTACTAGCTAACGTGATCAGCGAGTGAATTTAGAAATCTTAGGCTAAGACGTATTACAAGTTTTATGCCTTGAGACCTTTTCAATGCTAGTTTCAAATATGTTAAAGTTGCATTTCTTTTGTTATAAAGTAAGTTATCTAAGATCAGGAAGTTTGACTTTGAACTTTTTCTTTAAATTTTAAGATACAACTCAACCCACATTACAATGGGTAATGGAAGGGTTTTAAAATCTGTATATTTTGTTACAGGCCTTAACTTCTAGGCATCTCATTTGGATATTAATTTTTGTACTAGAGCAAGTCCTAAGTTGCTTTTGGAGCAAAGTTATGACTGTAGTTCTGTAACTTAGGACCTAGGGTGGCAGATGACTTGGGTTGTCAATACCAGACAGTAATACTTATTGCCTTAAGTTGAGGTCTTCCTTCCCATTTGCAGAACTACCTCTCTGGGCTAAGACTTCATATCTCCCACATAGGTTCAGGGCATACCTCTATGATATGAACCGTATTCTACATCCTACTGCCAGAATAATCAACTTTGAAACCTACTTCCGTCACTTCATGCCTTCATAATCCTACAGTGATTTCTCATTGTACTAAATTTAAATCCTTCAACATGTAGTTGGGAACCCTCTCAAAAATTTCCCTGTAGTAAAGGCATCTTCATTCATTCATTCATTCAAGGGGAGGAAGCAGTATTTATATACTGAGTATCAGGTGCTAGAGGTTTTTATTCCTTACAACCTCAGCAGGAAGGCAGTATCACCAGTTAATAAATAAATGACCCAGGCGTAGAGAATTTTAAAAGCTTGACCAACGTCACTGGCTTTTGTCTAATTATAATTTCCATGCTTTTTCCGCTACACCATACTTCCTCTCATTTTGCAAACACTGATTGGATTTCTATTCTGTGCCAAAACTGATGTTAGGCGTTAGGATAAGAAAACAAATGAAACACTGAGATTATATATATGAAAACGCATTTAAAATTTTAAGTAATTTTGTGTCATTGATTCTTTTTCTTAATTAGAACACATTTAGTCTAGTGGTAGAAACTAGGAGAAATAATTCTATTTTCTGAATTTCTCTTGCTTGCTTTCACTTCCTTTGCCAAGCCTGTCTTTCTACACTTAGATTCAAACTTCCACCCTCTGAAGTTTGGCCATTTATCTAGTCATTCAGATTCTTCCATATCCTTTAAAATTAATTTATTCAACAAACATTTATAAGGGGGGTATTGTATTCAAAGCTCAATGCTAGGTTAATGGTGGGGATACAAAAATGAACAAGACCAGTCAAGTGGAAGAGATATACAATAACTTCGGAGCAATGTGAGAAGAACTGAAAAGGATTATGAGATTGTGGGGAAAACAGCTGTGAGACTATGGGACGGGAGGGAGGGAGTGATCAAAGATGAGGAAACGCTCTTCACATAGGGGAAAGGAAGAAGTATGCTCCAGACAGAGTGAAAGCATGTGTAGAGTGACAGAGGTGCTTGGAGGTCAGGAGAGTTCAGCTGGGCTGGAGGCCATGGCTCAGGGACAAGCCAGAGAAGCTGAGGCAGGAGCTGGGGAATCTCTGATTTTTCTTTTTTCCCTTCCAATACAGGACTACGATCTAGGATTGGAACCTTGTTATAGAAAGATGGCTTCAAGAGATCCTTTGGGAGCATTTGCGGAAAGCAGTCAGTCAGGGCCGAGGGCCCCAATGCACAGACTCATCATTACTCTTCTCATCTGCAAAAAAGAACCGCAAATTTCATGAGAAAAGGAGCTATTTCTCAGTATTCTTTTATGTTCTTCAGGCTTTAATACAGTACTATGTACAATAACTTTATCTGACAAATGGTTTTTATGTATTTTTTAGATCAGTGAAAGTTACATCTGGTTGTTACCCAGTCCTGCTTTGTAGCCTAATAACTGAGGCTAATGTAATTATTTAGAATACCTGGGAAGCTAAAAGGGCGAGTGGCCTCTTTGGGATAACTTTTACTTTCTTGCCTGCCTGGATAATTTGAGGGGTGACATAGGATGCAGTCAGTTTACCATTTTGAGTCTATACAACAGGATACATTACATTTGGCTTAATTAGTATAAACACTGCAGTTTATACTAGGACTTAATGAGTCCTACTGTGCCCTATGCATTATACTCTGTTTGATACAGAAATACAGGAGTAAGGAACAGTCTCTGCTCTTAGGAGCGCATACTGGGCATTGAAAGGGGGAAACAAACATTGTAACTTTGGTATTAATATAATAAAATCTCTTAATGCTGTGTGAATGGTATGAACAAAGTGCTGAGGGAAATAGAGAAAGGAGGTGACAAAACAGCTCACAAGGTTGTGGGAATTAAAAAAAAATTATATATGTGCAAATGAAAAAATGTAATATTCTTAACTCTGATAATTACTCAGCAAACCCCGCATTTATACCGGTGTTGGCGATCTTGGCCGAACATGAAGTCCTCGCCTTTCAGGAGTTGCTAGTTCTCTTAAGCCTCAGACTTCTTTAAAGTCTGGCTGAACTAAAAGGAGTTTCTGGATAGTTATGTAGGACTAGTGGGGAACGGAGGATCCCACAGTTCCTGCGAATCAGAGCTTGTGGAGGCGGTTATACTCCGCAGATTACGGCAGTGGGCGGGCCCCAAATCCCCATGTGGTCCCGACATCATTGACATGGCGGAATCCCTCATCTAACCCTCCTGGTAGTTATTTGAGCGGCGGCGGCGGCCGGAGGAGGAGGAGATCGGCGGTGGGGACGGCGGCGGCGGCGGCGGGAGCAGCGAAGGGGCGGCAGGGATTCTCGGGGCTGTCGGCTGGGGAGGCGTGGGAGAGCCGGTGTGTGGCGCGCCCGGAGCCCCGCGTTTCAGCCCCAGGGAAGGTAAGGGATGCAGGAGCGGGAGTCTGGAGGGGACCGGGATCCCAAGTCTCTGCCGCCGCGCTCGGCGCACTGGAAAGCCCCGTCCGGACGCAGAGTCCGCCAAAGTGCGTGCCTGCCCCGGAGCGCTTCGGGAGCACCGGGCTTCCAGAGGAAAACTTGCCGCCAGAGTGCTGGGGCGCCCTGCGCTGGTCTGGGCACCCCGGGAACAGGGGGCCCGGTGTGGGGGGTGCCGGCCTCCGCTTTGGGGCCGCGTCTTACTGGGCTCAGGGCCCCCGCTCATCCACGCAGCTGGCCAGGGTTTGGAGGAGGGAAAGAAACGGGTAGATTCTTTCTGGATGGAAAAACAAAAAAATCTGGGCAGTGGTTCCCGGGCCCGCCCTCCCCCTTCGTCCTCCCCAGCCTTCCCAGCAGGTTCGTCCGAGGAATCCGCTCCCCCTCCCGGAATCTCCGCGGCAGGAACGCTGCCCAGGGGGGGAGGGCGGGCGGAGAGGCCGAGGAATCTTCGACGTGTCACTTTCTGAGCCTGTAGATTTCCATATGCTGGAGGGAGGAGGGCGGGTGTGCGAAGTGGGGCTGGAAGTCGGGGCCGCCTCTCCGCGCCAGGCGGGGGCGGGCCGGGACCTCCGACCTGGGGATGCTCGCGGGGAGGGTCCCGAGCCCGAGCCGGCCCCCCGCCCAGGCCAGGCCTCTCAGGGACACTCCCCGCCTCGCCGCTGGCCACCTCAGTGCGCGCCACGTCCTCCCTCCCCGTCCTGCCCCCCGGGCTCCCCCCAGGCTGGGGGCGGTAACCGGCGGCAGCGGCCGGACTCGGCGAGCCTAGCGGCTGGAAGCTCGGGCGGGGGAGTGGGGCGCGGCGGGAAGGAGCGGGCGACCCGGTGTGTGGGCCAGCGTAGCTCCGGTCAGTCGGTCACCCCGAGGGGCTCCCGGGCCGGGGTGGGGCGGGCGGGCGGAATCCGCGCCCCGAGGCGGCCGGGAGGGGCCGCGCGAACCGTCTGGTGCCCGCGGCTGGGCGGGGGCCGGCCGGCGTGGGAAGGGCTTGTCACTCCCGGCGGAAAGTGGGCCCTCGGGCTGTGCCCGCGAACTTTCCCAAAGGTCCGGTCCCCGCGCCCCGAAGGAGCCCGAGCACCCGGGCCTGATGTCCCCGGAGACCGGGCAGGGCCGCCCGGCGGCGCCGTTGGCGGGGAGGCTTCCAGGAGTGCGCGGTTGGAGTTGGAGCTTTTCGAATCTCAACTCCCACCCTTCTATCTTTGACTAAGGGAAGCGATGGCATTTTATCTAGACAGTACCGTTTGCGGACTTCCTTAAAAGTTAAAACTTTTAATTTTTTTCTCATCAGTTCAGCGCGTTCTTGAAACAAGATTTGGAATTTGGCCGCAGTGGGCCGACGCCGGGGCCGCAGACTCATACTTTGATCTCTCCATCCTTGTTGGTTTCTAGTCTCCCTCCCTATCTTCTACCTAACCTTAATCATGTTTTGGAACGGGCGAGGTCTTTTGTTGGGTGGGCACCCCCCTTGATTGCTTGTCTGTTTATTTTTTGATGTGCAGTTAATTTGATTTGAATTTCCTCCAGTTTCCAGGCTCTCGTAGGGAAAGCTAAGGAAGAGGGAATACGCCACCTTTTTTTTTTTTTCTTCTTTTTTTTTAATGTGGAGAGGTGGGGCATTGGGAAAGGGGAGGCACGGTGGTTGTGGGCAAAGAGTCAGAGGGAGCAGACAGACCCGGAAGAAAAGGAATCTGCTCTGGAATAACACTTTTTTTTTTTTTTTTTTGAGGCTTCTGGCCTCTGGCAAAAATGCTCTGTTCTGATTTCTACTGCCTGAGCTGCTCTTTACTCTCAAGTTAGAGCTGTGACTCGGGGCCTGGGACTACGCCCGGGGGAAGAGCCCTGCAGCCACGCCAAGAGCAGCCTGTGGCCCTGGTTTTGTGCCTTGTATGGGGGCCCGTGGTTCCCCCTGGTTGGAAGCGGCTTCTGTGGAACCTGCGTTTTGTAAATTTTCTGGCTCCCGGGGAAGCTGTTAATGACGGTAAAGTCTTTGGTCTTGCTTTCTGATCCTGCAAAGGGACCTCACCTGTAAGGATATAATTCTCACTTTGTTTAGACATGAGAGGGTCATGCACAAGCTGGCCAAGAATGAGGCATACTTGGTAGAAAGAAAAAGTCACTAAAAAATGGTACTTAAACTCGTAGGTGCTTTTAAAGTGTTTTGGTTTATATTCTCCTAAGAGAAAAGAATTCTACATAAAGATAGTGTTCATTTTAAAAGAGATCTTAAAACTGTAAGATATCATTATGGAATAGGAGGTTGTCGCTTCTAATTACAGTATGTACAATTTCAGAAAGATATTGCAGTAACCTTTTAAGACAGACTTTATAAATAGCTCATGTCCGACCATGGGCTATATTGGAGAGTCAGTCTTCTGGGGTTTCTGGAGGAATGGTTGGGATCAGTTAGGAAGCTGGCTCTAGGAGCCTAGGTAGTAGTTTACTCAGTAGGAGTTTTGCTTAACATTTAAAGTGGCAACACTTGATAGTGTCCTTAGAACTGAAAACCTGAAGAACCTGCCAACTTCAGTTTTAGGAAAATGAGGCCCAGTGAGGGGGGGAATGACTTGTTCCCTGTTTGTGATCTTAGATCAAAATGCAATACTAGATTGTATTAATAGTTACTCTTTTGGGTATCTAATGTGTACTAAGTACTGCATATAGTGGTTTTTTTTTTTAACATCTCATTAAAATTCTAATAGTCTTTCAGTTTAGGTGATGTTAAGGCCATTTTATAGACAAAGCATTGAGGTTCATAGTTTAGTAACTTGCACAAGATCATATAGAATTTTCTTTGGTGATGGAAATGGTTTTATATCTGTGCTGTCCAAGTATGGCAGTCACCAGGCACGTGTAACTGTTGTACCGTTTAAAATGTGGCCTGTTCGGTAGAAGAGCTACATTTTAAATTGTATTTATTTTTAATTATTTTAAACTGCTACTTGTGGCTAGTGGTTAGGTACCCCGATTTTGGGGACTGTAAAGTAGAACTTTCTCTCGAATCTATTTCTGTTTAACTGGGTCCCATTCCTTTTTAAGATCGCCTAGTTCAGTTTTCTTTCTTCCATACCACCAGAAGATGCTTAGATTTAGTTCTTAAGTGGAATTCAAATACTAGATTACTTGTAGCTCAAAAACAAGCAAATAATTGTTTTAAAAATACTTGCCTGTCATAGTAAAAACTGATAGACAAAGATTTTAAATGACATTTTCTGTTTGATTGAAATAACTGCTTATAGGAATTGTTGGTTATTTTCAGTGTAATAAAGTAGTGTAAGTAGGGGAAGGTATGAAAAAATCACTAAGAAGAAGTTGAAAAAACTACCCCCAGTATCCATTTATCTGGTCATTGGGTGACTTTTTTCAAATGTGTTCATTCAGGTAAATAATATAACTAAACCAGCATTCACTTTTTCTCATCTAGTTGCACAATTAATCTGAAGAATTAAAATCATTGCTTTACTACCAAAGAAAGATTCTCTTGGTGGCATATGGTCAAATAGTTCTCTGATAAGTGGATTTAATTTAAATCTTTTGCATTTTAGAATTTATTTGGTAGAAGGAATTTCAACAACTTTCATACTTTATTAATATATGAAATAGTGAAAATTCCAACTCATGTTAAAATAAGCATTCATTTATCTGGATTTCATCCATAAATATCCAATAACCCAGAATCCTTTTCTTTTCTTTTTTTTTTTTTTTTGCATACTGCTTTCAGGAAAAGACAGATGACAAAATAATCTTTTATTAGAGTTTTAAAAACAGTAACTGCCAGATTTGTTATAAATATATCTGAAGCTGCTCTTTCATAGTTATTGTACTGCTCAGGGATAATTGCAGTTCATAATCCTGACCCTAGAGGATTAATGTGATTCTGAAAGACTTACACTAGTAAGTCAGCTTTAAATTGTTCTTTATTATTTTAGTGTTGTGTGAATTGCGTGGCCTCCAGCTCTGAAAATTGTAAATTCAACTAAAGGTGAGGCATCAGTTAATTAGACCATTCAGATAGCTGAAAAACCTTTTTATACCCTTTCCTGACTATTGGGATCATAGTTATGGTCAAAGAACCAACATAAGAACCGTGTTATAAATGGGATTATAGTGTTCTTGTGAGTGTGACAAATACTGGAAACATGATTTAACTCAGGATGCATAGTTCCATTTTTTGGACATCAAGGTGCTAAATACAAATGAGACATAATTTAAAAGAGATTGAAATGACAGGCAAAGATTAGAAATCTTATGGGCCTCCCAAATCTTATATCCCCTAGTGAGGGCCACATCTGAGTATCAGTTTGAACTCAGAATAATCTGTCAGGGACTTAATTTACTTCTTAGCTGTGTGTCCTTGATAGATTTCTGAAACTCTCTTAGTCTGTTTCTTCATTTTAGTATAAGGAGAAAACATCTTACCTGTACCATTTTTCAAGTGGTTGTCACAAGGGGTTAATATGAGTCAGTGTATTGAAAAATGTTTAGCAAAGCTTTGCACAAACTCCATAGTTTATTACATTGCAAAGTTTAAAAACTGAGCTGTTCTTAGGGAATTAGTTTGCATGTTTTCAGAGACCTCCAAATCGTGTTTGGACACTTTGAAAAATGACTCATTTTTTTTCTTTGCGATGAATGAATAAAGTTTCAATCTTTAGATTGCAATTTTATTTTCTCCATATTCCTAATGCCATAGTTGATTTGTGAACTCTCAACAGTTGTATTTCCTTACATGTGGTCCATAGCTGGTTAGCATTGCTGAAGTGGACAAGACAGTCGCCTTGATTCAGAGTCATTCTTGAGGTGGAAGGGAAAAATGACAGTCTCCTAGAGGAATTTCCAAACTTGAATGATAGAGGAACGGGCTTCAGCCCCTGTATGGTATCTTAGTAAGCCTGTTATTTGAGCTTTCAGTAATTACAGCTGCGTGCCAAGTGTGTACTCGGTCTCCTCTGACTCTCTGTGACCCCGTGGACTGTAGCTCGCCAGGCTTCTCTGTCCATGGGATTCTCCAGACAAGAATACTGGAGTCGGTTGCCATTTCTTCCTCCAGGGGATCTTCTCGACCCAGGGATGGAATCCTGCAATGCAGGCAGATGCTTTACCACCAGCGCCACCTGGGAAGCCCCAAAACAGGTTCTGGGTGGGGTGAAGTTGGGGGAACAGGGTGGAGAATACTGGAATGGGTTGCCATTCCCTTCTCCAGGGGATTTTCCTGTCTCAGGGATTGAACCTGGGTCTCTTGCATTGCCGGCAGATTCTTTACCATTTGAGCTACCAGGGAAGCCCAATTATAGCTGAGAATGGGGGGAAAAATAATTATCTGTATAGGGAAATATTTGCAACCTACTGTGTGTTCACTTTGGAAATCACAGTGCCTTTTCTTCACTTTAACAAGGTTAATGCATTGAATGAGTTTTTGTGGTAAGACATTCAGTTCAGTTCAGTCACTCAGTTGTGTCCAACTCTTTGTGACCCCATGGACTG